CCTGTTTACACTTTTATTTGGTCTGTGATTAACACACTCATCATCTTCAAAGTTGGCCTTTATGGGAAGTGGGGCATTGGGTAAGAAGGACTCCACGCTTCACTTGTAAAGTGATCCTAGAAGCCTGCGTCAGATGAAAGATTCCGATGTTCTTTGTCTCTTAACGAGAATGAATTGGAAGTTTAAGATCAGATTTACGTTTGGCTCTATTTTCATGGAACCCCCCGGTGCCTTATGGGATAGGTACAACTGTAGGCTGTATTCTAAGAGTGAGGACATGGAGGCATAAAGCGTGAAGAGCAATGGGAAGATTTGCACTGTCCATCTTTACTCCCCCCCCCTACACAGGGCCTCCTGGCTGTCCCCTAACCCTAACCCCTAACCCTAACCCCTAACCCTAACCCTAACCCTAACCCTATCCTTCCAGGCAGATCACAAGCTCCCTTTTCTCTCGCACATCACAGGGAGAGGTGTCATCCCTGACAGTCAGGGGGCACTGCCATACGCTGAGCACGATGCAGGGGCAGAGCACGCTCCCCAGGTCAGCTGACAGAGGGCTGGCTCGCCCCAGAAAACCCACTTCTCACAGGCGTGCAAGGGGCTTGGAAGAGGAACTTTTTCTTTCATTTTTAGTGTGAGTATGAGTGTGTGTGTGCGTGTGCACATGCATGCTTTTGCACATGTGTGGGCACATGTGTAGGTCCATATGCCCGAGTTTGAGGCCAGTAATCACACTCAATTGTTCATTCACCTTATTCATTGAAGCAGGCTGTCCCTGAACTCATAAAGCAGCAATATGGCTTTCCCCGGGGACCCCATCTCTGCCTTTTCTGAGAGGAGAATTACACATGTTATTTATGTGTGTTTCTGGGAGTCTGAACTCAGTTCTCACCCTTGCACAGCGAGTGTTTTAATCTCTGAGCTGTCTTCCCATCTCAGTGGGAGAGAGATGTTTAACGGCCACAGTGAGGATGAGGAGAACCAGTGCTGGGATGCATTCTTCTCCTGTGCCACGGAGAAGTGACATAAAATAGCCAGCCAGGGACACAGAGACAGTCCTGTGTCCCCTGGGGTCGACAGCCTGAGTTTAAGAGGGACTACAGGGAAAGGCAGCTGTGCCTACCAACTTGGGTTTTTTTTTTTAAATATGAGCCACTGGCTAGAGACGTGACCCCTTCCCTTACGTACTGAATACTGGCCAATTTGCTATTAATCAGTGTACATAAAAAATTCAGTGGGAAAGATGAAAAACCCAATGTTAACTTCAACAGTAAAGGCCACACAACTTGGCCTTGCCTATCTGCCACACAGACCCCCTGCTCCCCCTTGACCATTATATCACCCCCAATATAATGGCTGCCCAGCATCAGAACAGGCAGGATCAAGACTGACAGCCTGTCTGTGTTAACCTCAGACCCTTGCCAGAGCTTGGGATGAGGGCAACATGGGACATAGCAATCCCCTATTCCTCCTGAGTCTGTACTGGAAGACATAGAAAGGAATGAGGTGGCCTTCTGAGTTAAAAAAAAAAAAAGTGCAGTGCGTGTCAGGAATGCTTCAAACAGAGATTTTCGGGAAATACAGCCTTAGGAAGCAGCAAGCCCAGGACTGGAAAGTTCTAGAACAGAACATGCCAGAACAGCAAGCACACACCGAATACCTTCCATGAGCAGAGTGCTGTCTATGCCACTCCGCATAAACACTCTCTTGGGTGTAGCTCTGAGAGACAGGGACAAGGTCAGCAGAAGGCTCTGCCAAACACTGACTTAGAGAGATACCATCGTGTTTAGGAGAAGCATAACATCATGACAGGCTGGGAGGGAGGGACTGTTGCATGAAGCTGGGGTACAGGTCATTCATTATCCTGAAGGCAGAAGGGAATTTCTCTAGAGTTGTCGTTCCCACGTGTGATAGTCAGAATGATAACGGCCCCATAAGCTCAAAAATGTTCAGGTTAGTCCCCAGTTGATTAAGTGATGGAAGGATTTGGAGGTGTGGCCTTGTTGGAGTAGGTGTGTTTTTGTAGGAGGAGGTGTGCTTTGAGGTTTCAAATTCCCACTCCAGACATAGTTGTGCGCTCTCTCTCTCTCTCTCTCTCTCTCTCTCTCTCTCTCTCTCTCTCTCTCTCTCTCTCTCTCTCTCTCTCTCTCTCTCTCTCTCTCTGCCTTCCTGTAGATTAGGATTTAAAAGCTCTCAGCTACAGCCCCAACACCAAGTGTGCCCCTATATTCTCCCACCATGATGAAAATGGACTCAGCCTCTGAAACTGTAAGCCAGCCTGCAGCTAAATGTTTTGCTTTATAAGAGTTGCTGTGGCCATGGTGTCTCTTCACAGAAATAGAATAGTGGAAAGATAGTAAAGTTATCTGAGGAACATTATAAATATGGATGTGATTTTGACCAGTTACTGTGTACAAGAACATGTAGTATAAGAATTTAAGACAGAAGAAATGGCCCTTAGAAGAGATTGCAATTGAGCGAAGTGTTCATACAATGGTCTAAACCAGTGGTTCTCAACCTGTCTAATGCCTCAACCCTTTAATACAGCTCCTCATGTAATGGTGACCCCCTCCCCCAACCAAAAAGCTCATTTTGTTGATACCTCATAACTATAACTTTACTATGGTTATGAACAGTAATACAAATATCTGATATGCAGGCTATTTGATCCCTGTAGGGGTCGTGACCCATGGGTTGAGAACCACTAGTGTAAGCCTTGTACATGACCAATGGTGCGTGCAGCCAACAGAACCAAAGGTGACCCCCAGTCAACCAGATTCTGAATGCTCCCTTCCCCTCCCCACCAAGTAGGTAAACTTGTGAGTTATCTCTAAACAACAACACAGCACAACACAGGCAATATGATGTCAATCCTGGGCTGAGGTGATGACATATCATGTGGCAGAGGCATGGGCTGTTGTCCAGGCTGGTGGTTTTGTTGTTGTTGTTGTTGGTTTTTTGGGACAGGGTCTCCCTATGTAGCTTTGGAGCCTGTCCTGGAACTCACTCTACAGACCACACCACCCTCGAACTCACAGAGATCCTCTTGCCTATACCTCCAGAGTGCTGGAATTAAAGGTGTACGTCACCACCGCTGGCTCAGGCTGTTCTTAAAATCCTGGGCTCATGTCCACCTGTGCCCATGATGGATATACAGATCTTATAGATATACTCAAACTTGCCTTTGAGTTTATCAAAAGGGCTATCCATCACCTTGCTTGGGCCCACTAACCCGTGAGAGGCGGCTCTAGTCCATCTCTGAGGTTAGAGACTCTGAGAATGCAAGCCCTTCTCTCCAGCTAGCCTCAAGTGAACCTCACCAACTCTAAAGTTTTGAAAACAAAAGTTCTGTCAATCAGCACATGATCTTGGAAGAAGAACCCAGACTTCAGACGGGAAGCTGGCTCAGCTCTCATCTCCACAGCAGCGTGGTGAGACACCGAACACAAGACCTGGGGGAAGCTGGGAACTAACGAGGACAGGTTGTTTCCAGACTCCAAGGCTGTGTGGTATGGACCAGACAGCAACAAGAAGCACGGACATGGATCCCCACAGGACAGGCTAGAGCAACGGTTCTCAACCTGTGGGTTGAGACCCCTTTTGGGGGAATTGAACAACCCGTTCACAGGGGTTGCATATCAGAGAGCCTGCATATCGGGTATTTATATTATGATTCACAACAGTAGCAAAATTACAGTTATGAAGTAGCAACAAAATGGTTTCATGGCTGGGGGTCACCACACCATGAGGAACTGTATTAAAGGGTTGAAGCTAGGAAGGTTGAGAACCACTGGTCTAGAGTGTGGAACACGGACCCTCCCCGCCACACCCCTGCCCTGACTTTATGAAGCTGGAGAATGGCAGGAGGAAGGGAATCCTGGGGAGAGCTTGACCAGAACACTTTAGAGAATACATAGTCAAGAATAGGTCAGACGCGCTGAGGTGCGAGCCTAACCGTGGTCTAAGCCGAAGCAGCAACTCCGTCACCCGGTTCTTAGCAAAGGAGGATGCAAAGGCCAAGCAAAGGAATGGATAGTCATTAAAAAAAAAAACAACTTTAGCATCCTTGTTGCTAATTTTAAATATCTACTCCTCCCTCCCAGAATTCCTGACCTCACAGAAGAGCCTGCATAACGAGTTTTTGCCCTTTTACTGGAAATCGTGTGTGTGTGTGTGTGTGTGTGTGTATGTATGTGTGTGTATGTGTGTGTGTGCGCGTGCGCACGTGTGTGCGTGTGTGTGAGTGTGTGTGAGTGTGTGTATGTGTGTGTATGTGTGTGTGTATGTGTGTGTGCGTGCGTGCGTGCGTGTGTGCGTGAGTGTGTGTGTGCGTGTGTGTGAGTGTGTGTGTGAGTGTGTGTGAGTGTGTGTATGTATGTGTGTGTGCGTGTGTGTGTGTGTGTGTGTGTGTGTGTGGTGTGATATGTTGGAAGGGGGCTGAGCTACTAGCAATAAATAAAGGACTGGACAATTTGAAAAAAGTCACTTCCTGTTGGATAATGTCTAGTTCCCACCCCCACCCCTGGAGCACAACCCTCCAGCTCTCCACGTGACTCCTCCTTCCCAGAGTCTACTGACTGGAGACACTTAAGCCAAACAAACTCAGGAAAGGGCAAGAGATCAGGAAGAGGAGGAAGCTCGTGGCACAGGAGGAAAAAGACAAGAGAATGCCCTGATGTTCAAGGAAGAGGGTGGGGGAGACAGGAGTGAAGGCTCCCTCGGGATCACACAGTCAAGCTGCAAATGTCACCCCTGCGCGTGAACTCAGAACAGGCACAAACAGCTGGCCAAACCTCCTGGGACCTTTCAAATACTAACATTAATAGTGACAAACAGCGCCCCCCCCCACTCCACCCCAGCCCTCTGTATGCAAATTGGAACAAACGCTAAGCTAAAGCCAGTTGCTGCAAGACCAGCCGGGCAGGGACCAAAGAGGTAGCTAGAGTGTCTGGAGGAGTCTGCTTGTGTTTTTTCAGGAGAGGGGAGAGAGAAGGGGCTACCTGTAGATCACGCCATGTTGGTGGAGGAACATGAGAGCTGACGTGACCTCAGCAGCATAGAACCGGGAACGAGGCTCGTCGAATTTTCGGGACCGCTGAATCTGGAACATGAGGTCTCCACCGTTTACATATTCCATGACGAAGAAGAGGCGGTCCTGGAAGGAGAGGAGAACATGCTACATAAGCCACATTACAGCAGCACCCAGCTGGGACTAGCTTTCCTTCGGCGATCCCAACAGATTGCCAGGACTCAAGTGGCCTGATGGAGTGCTCCAGAGTGAAACATAGGAGCAAGCTTTCGAGGCAGGGTGTCAAGTGCTACAGAAAATTCTGTCTTTGGGGATGGGGACATAGCTCGGTCGGTACGGGGCTTGCCTAGTATCCACGAAGCCCTGGGTTACATCTCCAGCAGCACATAAGCTGCTTGTACGATGCAAGGCTGCAATCCCAACTCTGGGGGCTGGGTAGAGAGCCACAGGATGCAGAGAGCCCCCTACAGTAGGGTTCCCAACCTTCTAATGCTGTGACCCTTTAACATGGTTTCTCATATTGCGGTGACCCTCAACCACAGAATTATTTCATCTACTTTGAAACTGTCATTTTGCCATTGTTACAAATCATCATGTAAATATATATATATATGTATATATATATGTCTGTGTTTTCCAGTGATCTTAGGTGACCCCTGTGAAAGGGTTGCTTGATCCCAAAAGGGGTGGAGACTCACAGGTTGAGAACCACTGCTATAGGCTTTCTGCCCTCAAACACAGGACCTAGAGAGCTGAGCCACAATCACCTGCCACAGAGGGCAGCCCCTCCTTATCTGTATCTATGGTGACTTAAGGAGAAAGAAGTCTGAATCCACCTTACACAGTTCACCTTGTCCTAAGCAGCTAGCATGTGGGATGTTCTTCAGGGCATCAGGGAAGGAGTATAAGCTGGTGTCCTGGTGGCCTACGGGGTGGAGATGGGACATGGACCGAGTAGGGGGAAAAGAGCACCATGGGAACTGGGCAAGGTGACAACACAGGGTGCCATCCAGACCAGGAAAACCAGGGAAGAGTCTAGAAGGAGACAGACCTTACTAGAACAAGTCAGGGACAGATACTTCAACATGGGAACAGAGTTGACATACTTAGGGACATCAAGGTGATCAGACCAGAGGGAAAGCAAGGCTAGTGGAGGTCTGAGAGGCGAAAGAGACACAAGGCATCTTGCTCCTCGCAATGACCCTCCATCATGGCTTGCAGGTTGAGAGCCACTGGCTTAGATGAGCCATGACCCCTTTGGGGATCAAATGACCCTTTCACAGGGGTCACATATCAGATATTTATATTATAGTTCATAACAGTAGCAAAATTACAGTTATGAAGAAGCAATGAAACAATTTTATGGTTGGGGGGTCTCTTCAACATGAGGAACTGCACTAAAGGGTCACTGTTTGTTAGGGAGGTTGAGAACCACTGTTGAAGCCCCCAGTGATCCTGATGTCCACTCAGGGTGGGGAAGCCACAGACTCTCATCCACCTGGCTTCTGTCAAGATATTTTTATATAAATTTCTATTTAAATTAAAAACAATCTTATTTTAGATATCAATCCCAGTTCCCTCCCCCTCCCATGCCCCCCACTGACCTCCCCATCTCAACCCCCATCCACTCCCCAGGGAGGATGAGGCCTTCCATGAGGGATTATCAAAATCTGTCAAGTCATTTGGGGCAGGGCCTAGGCCCTCCTTGTGTATCAAGGCCATCAGAGTAACCCTCCATGGGAAATGGGCTCCTGAAATCCATTCGTGCACTAGGGATACATCCTGGTTCCACTGCCAGAAGCCGCATAGACTGCCCAGTGCTCCTAGCTGTCACCCACGTTCAGGGGGCCTGGTTTGGTCCTATATTGTTTCCCAGCTGTCAGACTGGGGTCCATGAGTCCTCACTTGCTCAGGTCAGCTGTTTCTGTGGGTTTTCCCAGCATGGTCTTGACCCCTTTGTTTGTCACTCCTCCCTCTCTGAACCTAGATTCCAGGAATTTGACTCAGTGCTCAGTTGTGGATCTTGGCTTTTGCTTCTATCAGCTAGTGGATAAAGGCTCTAGGATGGCATTTTAGGTAGTCATTATTCTCATTACAGGGGAAGAACATTTAAGGTAGCCTCTCCACTATGCTTAGGTTCCTAGTTAAAGTCATCCTTGTGGATCTCTGTATAATTCCCTAGTGCCAGATTTCTCTTTAAACCTATAGTGGCTCCCTCTATTGATGTGTCTCTTCTCTTGCTCTCCTCTATTCCTCTCCCCACTCAATCTTCCTGATCCCTCATGCTCTCCTCCCTACTCCTATTCTCTCCTCCTCTTTCTCCTACCTTCCTCCCTCTCCCCCCAGGCTCCCAATTTGTTCAGGGGCTCTTGTCCCTTTCCACTTCACGGGGGAACTATGTATGTCTCTCTTACGGTCCTCCTTGCTGTCTTGCTTTTCTGGAGGTGTGGATTGTAGGCTGGTAATCCTTTGCTCTATGTCTAATATCCATATATGAGTGAGTACATGCCATGTTTGCCTTTCTGTGACTGGGCTACCTCACTTAGGATAGTTCCTTCTAGTTCCATCCATTTGCCTGCAAATTTCAAGATTCCATTGTTTTTTTTTTCTGCTGAGTAGTACTCCTTTGTGTAAATGTACCACATTTTCTGTATTCATTCTTTGGTTGAGGGGCACCTAGGTTGCTTCCAGGTTCTGGCTATTACAAATAATGCTGCTATGAACATAGCTGACAGATGTCCATGTTGTATGAATGAGCATCCTTTGGGTATATGCCTAAGAGTGGAATTGCTGGATCTTGAGGTAGACTAGTTCCCATTTACCAGAGAAACTGCCATACTGATTTCCAAATGGCTGTCCAAGTTTGCACTCCCATCAGCAATGGAGAAGTGTTTCCCTTTCTCCACATCCTCTCCAGCATAAACTGTCATTGGTGTTTTTGATTTTAGCCATTCTGATGGGTGTAAGATGGAATCTCAGAGTTCCCTAATGGCTAAGGATGTCAAAGTATTTTTTACAACAGTAAAACTTAAGGATTACTAAATTAGTTGTTCTCTTTTTTTCTTTTCAAGGACTCCTTCTAAGACACAAATGAAACTACATTGAGATTCCCTCTGACCCCAGTGAGAAGGGCTATCATCAAGAAAGCAAACTGTACCAAGCACAACAGCTACTGGCGAGGATGGGGGAGAGTGGTGTATACTCTGCTGGCTAGGGGGTGCAAACTGGTGGAGCCACTGTGGAAGTCAGTATGGAGGTCCTTCAAAGAACTGGAAATGGAACTACACACAGAAGATCCAGCCAGATCACTCCCAGGTGTGAGCCTGAAGGATTCTGCATCTGCGCACCAGAGAGAGCTTGTACATCCAAGTACATCTGTGCCCTGTTCGTAATAGCTAAGACACAGAACCAGCCTTTGCATCCATCAACAGCAGAATGAAGAAAATGGGGTACATACACACGGTGGTTTTATTCAGCCACAGAGAAGAGAATGACATTGTGTCATTTGGAGGAAAATGGATGCAAAGAGCATTTGACATCTAACTACAAGAGGGTCTATGTGGGAGGAAGAAAGTGTTATGGGGAGTCTGCCGCCAGTCCGCTAGCCAATCAAAAGGAGTATTTTGGTTCAAGAGGCAGGGCTTTCCTTGGGAATGGCCTGACTGAAAGAAAAGGTGGAGCACAGGCCTTTCCAAGGAGGAGCAGCAGCTGTGGGTGGGTGACTCATTCAGATCCCTGCTTTGTCTTGTGATATTTGTGCATGGATTTTGCTTGACAATAAACGGTAATCTTTGGACATTCTTTATCAAGAAACGATGTAAAGGAAGGTGGGGAGGCACAAGAGAGCTGGGTGGGTGTGAAGGTTAGTTTTGTCAACTTAGCACAGTCTAGAATCACCTGGGGTGGATGAGACCTCTCATTGAAGGACAGTCTAGTTCAGGCTAACACATGAGCACGTCTCCAGGGAGCTGTCCTGATGGCATTCCGGTGGTGGGAACGCTCAGACTGAAAATGCACAGCACCATTCTCTCTCTCTCTCTCTCTCTCTCTCTCTCTCTCTCTCTCTCTCTCTCTCTCTCTCTCTCTCTGTGTGTGTGTGTGTGTGTGTGTCTCTCTCTCTCTCTCTCTCTTTCTCTCTCTGTGTCTCTGTCTCTCTCTACCTTAAATGTGGATGCCACTGACTGCTTCATGCTCCTGCTACTATGAATTCTCTGCTGCGATGGACTGTACAGTGGATGTAGAAGCCAAAACAGACTCTTTCTTCCTTAAGTTGCTTTTCACTAGAACATTTTGTCATAGTAACAGAAATAAAACAAAAACAGCAGGGGGAGGAAAGACAAATGTTAAATGGTTTTGCTTATATGTGGACTCTAGATTTAACTCTGTGTGTGTGTGTGTGTGTGTGTGTGTGTGTGTGTAAATTGAAAGCAAGAGAGGGACCAAGAAGGGGAAGGAAAGGGATTAACAAGTGGGTAATAATAATGGCTAAATACGAGTAAAATACAATGATGTATGTATGGAAATGCCTTCGTGACACCTATTATTTTGTGCACTAAAACTTAATTTAAAAAAGGGGGGGATTACTTCAAGAACAAGCATCCTTAGCATCAAGATCACTCAAGAGTCTCATGAGAGCAGTGATCCTTGCTGACAGACCACACCATTTCTGATTTGGAACCTGAATATCGACATCTCTAACAAGGTCTCAGGAGATGATGCCAGTCCAGCAACCACACTTGGAGAGCCTCTGCCCTAGAGGCAGTGGGGTCAGCCTTTCCCAAGGCAAGCACAGATACACTGCTTGTTCATACTCTCCCATCAGCTGAACATTCCACCAGAAATAACGACCAAAGTGTCCAGTTGATAGTCACCAACCCCGAGCCTGGGCTGTGGCCACAATGGAGGATTTGAAGAATCTAAATCTCTAGAGGGAAAACTCTCCCTCTCTTCTTGTTGTAGGGTCTATCCTAACATTAGCCACGTGGTCCTGAGGGCAGAGTGACAAAGGGGAGTGCCCCCCACAACTGTATCACTCACTGGCTGCCTGACCTCAAGCAAAGAATTTCATCTTTCTGTGCCCAACTTTCCAACCTGCAAAAGTGAGGGTCTGCAGTGCCTGCCTTATA